CCACCCCCCTGGCAGCCAAATTTGGGTTTGGCCAGGAGGTAAATGTCAGCGTCTACTGGGGCGGTAGGACAGACCTCTCGGCGAACTTGAAGTGGTCTGTGCTAAGTAAGAAGGAACATCAGAAGGCACCAGGTAGTTTAATGTTGGATTGTTTCAGCTTTTTTGTGTTGAGGTAGATGAGAGCTAGCAATTTAAAAAGCAAAGGACTCTCACCCTTTTTATGTTGAGAGTAAAGACTGTGTCTGTTAAGCTGTTGATGGGATTCAGTTAGACATTTGTCCAAACCATATCCAAGGAAGCATTTCTCGTAGACTGGCCTTCTGTTCTTTTATCTTAAAATGGAAACTTCAAGTAAACAATGTCATAGAAATTATATAGTATAAGCCTTCCGTTTGACAGGTGGGGAAACAGAGGCATGGAGAAGTCAGTGACCTCACAGGTTTGCCCAACAAGGTTTGGGCACAGTTAGACCTCGGAGTCCCGTTTTCAGGCGTCTGGCGCAGTTCTCTTTCCTTTTCACTTAGTACCTCTGCAGGAACGTCATGTTCCTCTGTCCACAGGAAACAGTCCCTACTGGAGGGTTAGATAATTAGAAAAGAAGACCTGAGCCAAAGAACCAGTTACCATGTTAGAACAGGTTTGCATCCACCGGTCACTGAACAGAGGGGTGATTTGCCCTCCCCTGGGTTGATCTATCTAGGGGAGATGAAGGTCTTGCTGTTATAACACATGAATTCTTTTGTGGTGGAGAGATATTTTCAAATATTGAGACAAATAACCTCTCAGAAGGGGAAACGGCCAGGGTAATGAGGGGATATAACTGGAGCGTAAGAAAATCTATGAGCATTGTGCTCATTAGAGGGGGAGAGAGGAAAGATGATCGATCTGGAGTTTTCATTTGCAGCAGGAAATTTGGCCTGTACAGGCATTAGACTTGGGTCTCCCTTGTTACCTGCAGTCTCTGTGGTCCGCATGGCAGGTAAATTTGGAGCACGTTCCCTGCACTGGTTTCTGTGAGTTGCCAGCTTACCTGCTTTGCACAGGTCAACATGCAGGCCCCGAGAAAGGCCACCTCTCCGAGTGTAATTTCTTCGGCATTCGCGTTGTGCCCTGCTTACAAAGCTGCTCTCTCTCCTGTCTAGTTGCTGATGTGTGGCCTCGGAGACGTGGATGTGAATGACTGGAGACAGCATACTATCTACAAGAACGGCTACTGCCCAAACCACCCTGTCATTCAGTGGTTCTGGAAGGTAAGGGCAGGGCTCCTGGCCCACACTGTGCTCCTCTGCCTGGGTCAGGCTGAGGGCTCTGGTGCCCTTCCCGTGGCCCAGCTGCCGCAAGTTAGGCTCTGTTAGTACGTGGGTGGCTGGCGGAGAGAATGGGCAGACTTGAGCTAGAAGCAGCCCTAGAGTAACTCCAGTGGCCGGCTGTCCTTGAACAAGGTTGGTTCTTTTCAAAGCACCCTGCCCTTGCTTTACCCCAGATTAAAGTGGCGTCTGTTTGAGGAACCCATTGAGTAGGATGATTCTGAAATGGAGGTAATCGGATTCAAGAGTTGGACCAAGCCCCCCAAAGTGTAAAGAAAAATGGGAGGCCTCTCAGGGTGAAAACATACTTTGGGGTTGACTCTTCCAAGATGCCATTTTCCCAATTTTTTTGTTATTCATTCCAACATGCACTTTGATCTTTTATATCTTTCAGTCAAAGATGGCTACAAATGTAATTTGATTTACTATCTTCGGGCCAATGTTTGCATTCAGTTTAGCTTAGGAGAGCAGTGAAGTGGGAATGAGTCAGTCCAGGGGAGAGATGGTAAACCGACTTTAAAAGAACCACTGCAGGAAGAAAAAAAAGTTGATTTTGCTTTACAGAGATAAGAAACCACATCACTTGTTTTAACTTCTAAATGGCTATTTTTAATAACATTTTAAGGGCCAGCAGAAATAGAAAAAGAAAAAGGCAGAATCTTCAAATCCTGGTCCAGGTCTCGCTCAGTTTTGATTTTGGATTTGTTTTTTTACAGCAGTTCAGGTAACATTACCAGTAAAGCCAACTCAGCTCTTGTAAAAGCTCAGATATGCAAGATACACAGATTATTTTAGACGCCTACCCTTGCCTCTGTTTCTTTCTTTTTATAAAGTGTTGACTTCCAACAATCTGTCTACAGTCTGAAATCCCACCTCATAACCTCGCTTCCCCTGGGGTTGACACTTCTCAAACCTACATGTTTATCATTGGCTCTCGGAGAAACTGGCAGGCCTCGCACACAGAAACCTGAGCTCAGTGCCACCCAAGAGTTCACTTTTTATTTCATTTATTTTGACTCATTGTAGAAGAAGGAGATGCTGTGGTCTTTTACTCTAAGATAGTCCGATATTGTGGTGGCCATTTAAAAAAAGGACCGTTTTCAGAGTCATCTGTGTAGGTCTTACATTGCTATGTGAGTAAGTTGTGCCAAGTGTCACGTGGGGATACAGTGACCTTCTGCCTCTGTCTCTAGGCTGTGCTGCTGATGGACGCTGAGAAGCGTATCCGGTTACTGNGGCCATTTAAAAAAAGGACTGTTTTCAGAGTCATCTGTGTAGGTCTTACATTGCTATGTGAGTAAGTTGTGCCAAGTGTCACGTGGGGATACAGTGACCTTCTGCCTCTGTCTCTAGGCTGTGCTGCTGATGGACGCTGAGAAGCGTATCCGGTTACTGCAGTTTGTCACAGGGACGTCCCGAGTACCTATGAATGGATTTGCTGAACTTTATGGTGAGCAGGATACTCTTTCTGTTTCTTGTCTTGTTTTGTTTGGTCTTTTGGTCTGTCTTTAAAAACTAGATTCTGCAGAATCATCCACATGGTTATAAACTGTGGATGTTTATCAAAAGGACTCCTCACCTCCAGGGGGCACAATTCCTCAGTGCTTACTGTAGATTAAAAAAGTCACTCTTTCTGCTCTATGTATTATAGATCACATTTCTTTTATCCCCCCAAAATAGTTTTAAATTTAAACTTCCGAGGTTCAGCTGAAAGGCTGTAGCAGCCCGCACTTCCATGTGTTGTGGTGTCTGTTCAACTTGGCTAGATTCATTCTGAAGGTGATGTGGAGTCTCTTGAGGGTGTGCAGATCTCTTGCCTCCCACAGTTAAATAGTAAGCATGATGCTGCAGCCCTAGAGGGTGCTTCGGCTCACTCCCTTTTTCTCAAGTCACACACTTACCTACAGCGCTGTTAGCATTCACTTTTCTTTTTTTTGTCTAGGTTCCAATGGTCCTCAGCTGTTTACAATAGAGCAATGGGGGAGTCCTGACAAACTGCCCAGAGCTCACACATGGTGAGTGGCAAAAATGCACCCTCGTCAACAAACCGTATTTTAAATATTTAACTGTGTATGCTGCTGGGCTAGAGGCTACAGGATGTTGCATTCCTGCCCATGAATAGATTCGAGTCTGAAATGTCAAGGTGCAGATGAAAATATACATTGTACTGTAATGCCCATAAAGCTTAAACCAAGCTCTGAATGGACCCGGTATATTTGGCACATTTGGGGTTAAGCCGTCTGTGCTGTGGGGAATTCTTCCCTAATTACCTTAGGAAGCAGAGCTTTTACTAATTCTCACCACGCATGGGTATGACAGCTCCCAAACTCGAAACAGATTGGGTTTTTACTCCACCCTTAAGTAAGCTTTTTAGAACTTGGAATAAAATTCCCTGTAGAAACATTGTTTTGAAAAGGGCTTCAAAGGCCGTCAGTAACCCATATGTCTCTGGAATTTAATATTGATGTGATTGTGGCCAGAGAGGGTAAGAGGTCTAACCCAGGGCACTGCCCAGGGAGACGGGGTGGAGTGAGGCAGCCTCCCGGATGCTGGGCAGGGTGGCGGGTCTCCAATTTCTCAGCAGTTACGTAAAACCAGCGCAAGGATGAGCCTGGCTGCTCCGGGCGAGCGCTTGCTAATCTGAGCAGTGACGTCCCTTGCCTTGGTTTTCCCCACGGGCTTTTACTTCTTGCTCTTAGGAAGCGAGTGGCAGCGGGCCCTGGCGGGCAGCCACACTGCGCTGCACAGAGCAGCCGAGTGCCCCTCGCGGGCGGGGAACCGAGTGCTGCCGGGAGAGGTTCTCATGAGAGTGTGTCGGTGAAAAATTGGCTGTGAGACATCCTTTGCTTCTGTTCAAGTCCCTGGCTGGAAAGAAAGTTTCTTCCTGTTTATACCATCTGTGGGACTGAATGGAATGTATCTTACCCCTTGAAAGCATCTGAAAATTGGGACTTTGTAAAGCAGCCATTGTCTGTGATGCTCTGCCTTTATTCCAGGGGGAGAATGTTTGGGTAGTTTGGAGCTTTCGTTCCAAACAATAGCAGAGTCAAATGCAGTCAAATGTTGGAAGGCAGCCGGCACTGAGCAGAGCCCAGGACTGTGGGGCTTGGAGGAGAACTCCCCAATCCATAGTCTGATAGGGAGAAACAGGAGTAAGAGCCACATTCTCGGCACAGCCCTTGTCTGTGGGCCAGGTTCTCTGGAGTCTTTAGGGCAACCTGTGGTAATCGACTGTCATTCCCATGGTCCGAGAGGAAGCTCGCCCAGGATCACGCAGGTCACAGATCCCCAAGTCACAGGGCGTGAACCTCGGGCCTGCCAGAATTAGCATCTGCGCTCTAACCACGACACTCATCCATGCATCTGTTAATACAGCCCACTTTCTGTTTGGACTCTCCAAGGAGAACCAAATAATTGAGTGTTCAGCCCATGTCCCTCTGTGACATGGTGGACAGAAGTCTTACTGTTGAACTTGCCTCCTGCTTCAGGGTCCACATGCTTCAGCCACAACTAAAGTATGGTGCTGCCCAGTTAAGCCCTCTGAACTCAGTGGTTCTCAACCTTGTCTGCACATTGGAACCACCTAGAAAGTTTTTTTTAAAAAAAGACTGATCCCACCCCAGAGATTTGGAAGTACTGCAGTTGGTCTGGTGTACAACCCGGGCTGTGGGTTCCCTGGGCTCCCCATGGGTCTGGCAGGCGTCGAGGGTTTAGAATCCCGGCTCCTCCTTGGGAAGAACGAAGGCTCACTGCAGGAGGGAAGCGGCCCAGCAGGCTCTTACCTGCGCCTCTTTTCTTCCCAGTGTGCCATAGAAATAAAGCAACCAAAGAGGCTTCCTAATGATGGTCTTCTCCCCAGAATAATCACCGTCAACTAAGGGGAGTGCTAGTTGCAGCCACAGTGGCTGGCAGGGCAGGACCCACTGTTCTAACACTGCATGCACGGCTGTCTTCCCGAGCTGGCCCTGGAGCCTTCTCTCACGCAGGAGACCAGCTTTGCTGGCTGCCTCACAGCAACAGTTCCTTCCACAGTCAGACTTAGCCATATGTATGTTTAATGTCTTCCATGTTTCATGAAAATATAAAGCACACAATCAAGCTTCAAAATGCAAACCTGATTTCCTGAGCAAGGGCTGGTTCTCTCCAGTACTTTCCACAAATCCTTTAGATGTAATTATCGGGTGTCTGATATTTAAAGGGCTTCATCTCATTGTTCTGTCAAAGGTGACTGCTTGGATATTGAAAATTACACTTTATTAAGAATCACAGACCTACCTGCTCTTTGTTGTCCACTCTCAAAACAGTCTCATTTGGCCCAACCATCTTCCACATGAAGCTGCTGAAGCCCACTGAGAACAATAAAGTCACACAGTTAGTTGGGGCAGGCGAGACTGCTCCCTGCCCCCACCCTCAGCGGTAACAATAACACTTAGCACTTAGTGGGTTCCCGGCATTGTCCTAAGCCCTTCATGTGTACTAACTCATATCGTTGTCACAGCAGTCCTAAGAGGTGGGTCATAGTGAAGGGAAAGTGGTCACAGACCCTCGAGAATGCATCTCCAGACCCCATAGGGATTGCAGGACCTGGACTGAACTACCAACTTAAAATTAATACTAAAGCCACCTTCTGTGAACGGCTCTTTTAGGTGTAGTCTGCAAAAGTGGAGTTTTCTCTTTATAACTGGTAAAATAATATTCAAGATCATTAGCAAAATGAAAACCAAAAATTGAAAACTTCTAAATTTACTGTTTTAGGACTCCTGGGTTTCTGAGAACTCCACTCTGAGAAGCATTGTTACTCTCTGCTGTCTCGAATATTGAGTGACTGCTAAAAGATCAGAGAACTGTGTGTCTTATTAAACATTTTGGGGGCTATTAAAGGACCCACCATGGACGTGTGTATGTTTCTTCTGCTGTTCATCATTAGCTTTTCAAACATGGAATCACATGTCAGTAACAGAAGGGAGCACAAACAGTGGTTAGAGCTGGGCTTTGGGGCCAGTGTTAGGACTGAATCCCAGCTCTAATGCTTACTGTGTGACTTTGGACAAGTTACCTAACCTCTCTGTGCCTAGAATAGGGGTGAAGCATGACCTACCTTTTAGGATGATTGCTAGGATTCATCGAAGTAATAAATGAAAAGTACTTAACAATGCTGCCTGCACAGGGTAAATACTCCCTAATGTTGGCTTATGAAATCATCATCAGCTGTGGCAAGGGTGGATGGCCATTTTCCTGGCAGGTTCACATCAGCAGTCCACCCCCCTAGGATGAATCCTGTGGCTGGGGGCTCTTACCCCTTGCTTCCCAAGTGGCCTCTTGGTGAATGGTGAGTGAATGATAGCAATGGTCCCCATCTCTGGGCACTGGCTGTATGCTAGGACACTTACATATGCTGATTTGACCCTTGCAGCACCCTGCAAGCAGGTTCTCCATTTCACAGGAGAGCAGACAGACTCAGGGGGGACTTGCCCAGGTCACACAGCTGGCAAGTGGCCTAGCCAGTATTTGAACTTGGTCTCTTAGACAAGCATGCTTCATTACTCTGAAAGCCTTGCTACCACCAGGGGGATTTGCAACACCCCAAATGAACCCTCTGGGTACATTGGGGCTTTTTATAAATGCAGATTTTCTCTCCCTATGTCCATTTCTTGCCTGACTTTATAGTTGGTGGAGGTAGCTTAGCTTTAGTCTGGAGCCACAGCCTGGTTCTGGTCTCTAGTCTGCCGCGCTGCCAGGGGCAAGAGCTCAGGCGCAGTGACGTGACCGCTCCATGCTTAAGGACCCTCACCTGCAGAACAGAGAAAACACTATCTGCCTCTTAGACCCTTGATGGAAACCCAGTGACTTACTGTTCGGAAAAGCACTTGGCTCGGGGCCTGATGCAGAATAAGGGAGAGCTTTGGAAATGACATAGCCTCCATGCATTGGAACTCCTAATGCATCGATCCTCTGTGTTTCTAGGGTATTGAAGTCTTGGAGTACATGTCTGTTACCTTGCCTTTCATGTCTCCCTCCCCAGCAGAATTTTTTCCAGCTGGAGTAGAGAGGTTTCATGGACTATTAGAAAGTCATTTTCTCTCCTCAGCAGGCTCTATAGCCTATTGGGTGTGGACAGTTTCCTCGCTGGAATTTATATTCCAATCATCAGAATTTGGTTAAGACATTTACATACCCTTGCTCCATCACCAAGTGCCCCCTTAGCCAAGTCTAGGAATTGATGTTATAACTAAAGGGTAATGAGGATGGCTTTTTATCTACACTTTTGTTACCGTTGCAGCTTTAACCGCCTTGACTTACCTCCGTATGAAACCTTTGAAGATTTACGAGAGAAACTTCTCATGGCCGTGGAAAACGCCCAAGGCTTTGAAGGGGTGGATTAAGCGCCCGCCCGCCTCGGGTGGTGGATCATCCAGCAAGTCCTGCTTGCACTTTTGCGTTTGCCTAACGGACTTTGCAGAGACAATGGCAGGGAGCGTTGCACAGCGTGGCTCCTGGAGCAGAGCCTTCGCCCGTGACTTGCCCAAGTTCAGACATGGGAACCCAGTCCCAGGTCCCGTTTCTGCATTTTCCACCGCGAATTATCAACTGGTTGATGTGTACACTAATTACATTTCAGGAGGACTTAATTCTATTTATGTTGTGCCTCTGTAGGCAAAGCCCTTAATAAATATTTTACATACTTTATAATGACAATGAATGGAATTAATCACTCTACAGGTATAGTATTACAACTCATGTTTACTTTTTGAAAATGATTTAGACCGATTTCCCAATTTCATTTCATTACAATTAAAGATGTCTCATGTACTTGGAAAAGTGAGCATATTTTTTTTTTTTTTGTATTTGAATTTCATACCAAGTTTAATGTCTGTGACATTTTTATTTTTGAATTACTCTGACACCCCTACCCTTGGCTTTATTAGAATTGGAAGACTGATTTGTGTCCAAAAACCTTCCTACAGACAAGTACTTTGAAAGCATTTAAAATAATAACATTAGCCATAATAATAATTTTTTCCATACTCAGAATGAAAACAAACTGGATAGTAGATTTTTTTTTGTACAAATTTAGCAGAATAGCTACAGGCTGGGAGAATTGTACCATAGCATGACGAATTTCGCGTTGACTTGAGGGAATCCCACCACTATTCCTTAGAAGTCCTTACGTATACTCAAACACCTCTGAGACGGGGTTGGATGGTCGTTTCTCACAAGAGGAGTCACTTAATCCTTCCTGATGCTGTACAGTCCTTCCTTTATTATATTTTTCTCTTTGCTGTTCATAGTAGAGACATTTATTTGAATGAAACGCGCGCGGCACTGCTTGATTTGAAACTGTGGAAACCAGGTCTGGTTAGTCTGTTTGTACATGTTCACTGATAGTAGCTAAGTAACCAGTTGTTGTTCTGACTGCACCAATTCCGAAGGCACTTTATGTACTACATGAAGGTCAGACCTGGTTTGGTTTATGTTTTGTTTCTTGTGGACATTAAATGTGATATTATCTCCCTCCCTGCACACAGCTTTCTGGTGCAATATCTACCAATAGTGATTCTGGCTGCTGGTGTATAAAACCTGGCTGTAAAGCTAAGCCAATGTACCTGTCCTCGCTGATCGTTTTGTGATTTCTGCTCAGAGATGAATTTAATACGCGCTTGACCTAACCGGCCTTGTTCCCTGTGACGCGTTGCATGCTCCTTCCGTGCTGTGTGCTGCCTGACTGTTGTGCGCCAGATGAAGAGGGAACGGGAAGACTTGACTTGACCCTCTGTGGTCAGGCCAGGCTGCTAAGCTGACTGGGGTGGGGACAGGGGTGGAGGGTGTCTGCACACTTCGATCCTTTGCCGCTTGTCATTCCTGTTGCAGAATTCTGTTTTGAGAGATTGCCTGAGGCAGTGTGGGAATTCAGCCCTGCTGTCCTTTTTAACCTGTGTTGTCCTAGAGCCTGTCTGGCGGTCAGGGGACACTAGAGATCTGATCTCTTGCCAGTCGTAAGACAAAATGTGGTTTTAGGGCCTCCATGTGTTATGTAAGAAGGACCTTTTGGTGTAAGAAATTCCATTTCGGTGGCTTGTGAGAAGCTGTGGAATGTTCGTGTTTGTAAATGAGCTATCTAAAGTCCGCGGTATCCAGAAGAAGGTGGGTTTCTGCCAAGCTGAGGATGGGCTCCCTTTTCATATTAATTTTAAAATACCTGATAGCGATCAGGAAACTTAGATGCTGAGTAATTAGAAAAAAAAAGCGTTACTCATTATTTTTATCTGTTGGGATTTTTTTCCCCTTTAGTCAGTATAACAAATGTCTCAGTGGCAAAAGCTGCTTCTTGCAGCCCCTCCTAGTTGAGGGTCAGCTTTCTTTGTAAGACTCATGCCAAAGCCTGGGTGAGCGGCATGGCCAGGAGGGTCCCCAGAGTGGTCATGTGACTAGAGGGAGAGAAATCCAGCAATTCCGGCCTAAGAACTGGGGGTCTTTTGTCATTTTTAAACTATATTCAAAATATGAATATTTTTTAAATACAAATTAGACAAAGTGTTGAAAATATGAAAGAAAAAATGATTGAGATAATTTTGACACCAGGGACAGATGAGAGGCATCCCCATATTACCCCTATGAATACTTGAAAGGCAGTGATTGTGAACAGTTCATTCATCTACTCCTAATATCTGACTTCAATAACAGCTAAATAGTGCAGGGTTCATTTTTATTTTTAATCCAAATAGTTCTCAGCAGTTCTCAGTGTTTCCACCCTTGGTTGAAAATAGTCCCATCTCGTTTCCTCTAAATCTTGACCACTCTCTGTCATCTTCCAGACTTAATGACAGAAGGCAGGAAAGAAAGTATGTCACGTGAACGGTGGAACGGTGGCTCATTGGTGGCCTCCACCCACTCTGGGCAGCAGGCCTGGAGTCAAAGGCAGTGTCACTTTCCTAGTTGTCCTCAGCAGTGATGCTGCTCTGGAGTGCAGGGTCTCTCTAGCCTCTGTTTTCTTAAAAATTACTTGAATCCAGTATATTTTTTTAGTTCCTGGAAGAAGGGATGGTTATCATTGGCCAGTTTGCCACGAGGTTAGGAAGTTTACATACTGTATGTCGAAGGTCATGGAGCGTCAGTTATCACAACCGTCTGTCAGTTCTGGATCTTTTCTCTTCCTGCATCTTGTTGGCCTGGAGACAACTTAGAAAGTCTGCACAGTGGGATTAGCTTCAGGTGCTGTGCTGAACTCCTGCCTGCTGCCTGGGGAATAGGATGCAGCGAGGCATGTATCCGTCTGAACATTGTATTCAGCTTCAGTGCTTGTTCCCAAAGCATTTCCCATTACTTACCCGTCCAGAGCCAGACCTCTGTCAGGTCACAAGAATGTAAGATGCTTCCTTGATTTTTTTGTTTCTGTGGCCCTTTAGTAGCTAACATCAGGTATTCCCTGAGGTCAGATGACCAACACTGTGAGGCCACCTGACATGGATTATTCCTCCCACCTAACGATGCAGCCACAGATTCTGAGAAATGGTTTGCAAGACATTTGAAACACTTTGTCCATCTCACATTGTTAAAATAGACAGCATGCACCATTGCTGTCTGATATTGCCAGATCTAAATTGGTTCTCCTGAAAGCCAAGTTCATATGCAGCAAATTACGCATTGTTCTAACAGTTACTAATGGTTGCTTGACTAGTCTTTTCCTAAGTCTTTTCTCTCACCTCTGAAATTTTAAAACCTATGAAAAGAGCCTGGATTAAACAATTCTCGGATCTCCTACCCACTGTGCTAGCTGTCCTTTCTTTGCCTCTTTCCTCTCACCCTGAGTCTGCACCCCCATACTGATGGGGAGGGGAGAGGACATGCTGTCTGGTATCATTTTCTACCTTGCCAGTAGGGGGTGGTGCTGTGCAGGGTAACTGCCTGGTCTGCTCCCTTCCTGACCCCCAGGAGATCACTACCTCTCTCTCATCCAGGTTTTGGGGTACATCCTGATAAGTCAAAACTGCCAATTTCAGGTCTGAGATGTGTTTTTAAAAATCCTTATGAACTCCACTTTGTACTTTAGATTTTAAAACTGGGGAGAAAATGTGATATACTTTGGACCACTTTTTTTTAATTTATCTAAGCCTTAATGAACAGTGTATATACCCTTGCATATGAGTACACACACACACAACACACACACGAGTGTTTTCAGTGTGTCAGAGAAAATGCCGTAGCATTAGGACGTGAGCTGTGTAATGTTTTATAGAAAAGGAGAGCTTTCTGTTTGTGTGAACTTTCCCAAGAAAACCTCTTGTCCAACATCTATTCTTTGTTAAAGGTGTGACGCGCAAAGCAATGCATGTTAAATGCATGTCTTTTTGTTGGTTAGTCTGTTTGTAAGGAGTAACAATGGGAATCTAACAACCTTGGCCACAGACCTCTGTGAACTGCATTCTCAGCCTTGTATCAGTGTGTCACTGGCCTTTCTCATGGCCATGGCCATGACCCTGTGTCTGCAGACATCTGTGTTCCTGTAGAAGCCAGTTTGCAGCTCCTACTGAGACTAATTTCACCAAGATTGTCACAGTTTCCTTCATGTAATAACTTCGCGTAACTTTGTTCTTTCTCTACTACTATGTATGTAAAATATATATATATATACACACATATATCCGTACATATGCTGTCCAAATATATATGTATATATTTGTATAGCATTTTTACACCTTTCTTGAGCAGTCTGGTTTCGAAAGGGAGTGAGAGCTTAGTCCCTTCTACAGTTTTCTCCAAGCTGTATCCTGAGAATTCTGACCCTTGGACCCTGAGAGAACCCCCGGAAGATAATGCTAATATGATGTCATTTCTTAATTCAGGATTGATTATCTAATGAAACATAAAAAAAAAGTGACGTTGAAGGTGAAAAGAGTCTCAAGCATTCCAAATGAATTCTCAATGTTTCATAACGTTTTCTTATCAACTCACCACCTAACACAAAGCCAAGTACTATTTGATACAGTGATTAAAAACCAAACTACTTTGACGTTTTTTTAAGACAACTTATGGACAATGCTCATTTTCATAGTCAGAGTAACTTTCAAATATGGTTGGTTGCATTTGATACACACAGGAAAAGTTTTGTTTAAGAACAGAATCCTTTTGGCTTTTCATTTTACTTAAGAGATCTAATGAGAAATTGTAGATTGTTTTCCTGACAGCAAAAGAGTCATGTGACAAAATGAAGTCATTGTAAAGCAGTGATGCAACTTGTCAAATATTGAATAAAGAATTACGGAAGCTGGAACATTTCTACATCAGGTATGATGGCTTGTCTGTTCAAAGCTTCTTTGTGAGTGGGCCGTCGGGCTCCAGGGGTTTAAATGCCTGCGATTCAGAGCATGTTCATTTCCTCAATCTCCCTAAGATTCCACACCTTTAGAAACATCACTGAAGTCTGCCCCAGAGGCATGGCCTCAGCTTACTGAGATGCACGTCTAACCTTATCCACCTGTCTTTTTATTAAATGTGAGAATTTATAACTTTATCTAACACTTCATAACCCCTCGAGTCCATCTCTGCAAAGGCCTACTTCTAGACTTTATCCGACCAACACAATAGAATTGAGTCCGAGACTCAATCATGAAGCCCAAAGTGGGTCTCAGAAGAGAGAGGCTATCAGAGCCCATCCCTCTTGTCCATCCTGTTAAAACTCGCAGACTCCTCAAATTCTTTTCTATTTACTTTAGTACTAAGCCTCCTCGTGATGACCCTAACCTGTCCCCCCAGGAACTGCCAAAAGGTAACATCCCAGCAGGACAAAACTTAGTCCTCGGTGTCTTGTGACTTGCCTTTTTCCGTTAG